TTTATTTTGTAAGACTTAAGTTGTCCCTCTTTCCTGTTTTTCAAATTCCTAAATATATAAAACTTATATGCGAACTAATACATTTTTAATATCGCTGATAATATCGTTTGTTACATTTAACAAATAAAAGTGTTCACTTAGTAAATTTGTTGCATAGTAGGTGTATGTTTAGTGCACACTTACTTATGTTTTTAGCTTTAAGCTCCAGTCTTTTGAATTAGGAATTATATTAGTTTACTTGAGTGACAGTTAGTGACTAAACATCGGCTTCGGTGGAAACAGTATTACTTTTTATTTGATGAAATAGTGTTATAAAAACAACGGAACAATCTGGTTTGTTATTTGAAGTACTTACTAAGAACGTTGAAAAATATTTATTTCTAAACCGCTGGCTAGTAATGTTGATCAAAAATACTTTTAAGAGTATTTAGTCCCCCTGGTGAATCAGCGGAAAATTTCCTAAGTTATAACGCTAACATTAGCGGCTCGATTCTCTGCGGTGAACAGAGTGCAGATAGTTCTTATGTATCTTTGCACTAAGAAAACAAGAAGCCTAGATTAGTAAAGTTGTCAACACAGCAAGAGTTATGTATTCAAATATATTGTAATAATACTCAGTTTTTGTCTGTCCTGAAGATATTCGCGCGCGCTACATTTCAAGAGATATATATCTACAAAAGGCAGATGTGTATATACTATAGTAAACATTTTGTACAACATATTAAAGTTTTTAAAAAAGGTCTAACGTTAGATCATACAGTAACACTATAAGTTTATTTATTGATAGTATTAAGTATTAACTGAAGCAAAAAAAAACATACAAGATACAGTGTTAGTTTATCTCTTTATCGAAAAAAGGCTGTATTTAATACTAAGTTGACTGCAAACATTTTGCGGGTCTCTGCTAGTATTTAATAATTTTTAATGGCCACTTTATAATTTGTTTACATCGTTGTAAAGGTTGTAAAATATGCAAAATATTTTAGTAAGCAATTAAAAAATTGATGCAAAAATATAAACTTTGTGGATTTCTTGGCATCGTATGTTTCATAAATGATGCAAACTATAACAGCCCTGACCGTTTTTGAAACTTAAAGCTGCTCTTCTTGCTAAGCTTAAGAATCCACACATCTTTTCATATGTTAAAGTTCAATGCCCTCAATCGCTGCCGTCACGGTCACACTATGTGAAGTAGGTGTGGCCAGATAAGTGTTGTTCAACTACGTCCCTGACCTGGAATGAAATTACGTCATACAAATCCCCTCTATACTTCCGACTCACGCGTACACTTGACCTTGTGAGTGATGTTGTTTCATGAGTAGGATGAATACTAGTAATTTGGTGGTGGAAATATACTGCCATAAAACGTTTCTTTGTTACACATCTTTGAGTTTTTGTAACCAGATGTATTTGGTCCAGAAGATGGTCACATTACTGAAAGCCCTATATTTGAGGTTTCGGATGAGGCTAGAAATCTAGGTGATAAGTTATGTTCGTGTCACATTACTAGTAATGTTAAAAAACTTTGCTTAAAGCTCGTTTATTTTGTAGAATGACTCACAAATTTGTAGAAAAACGACTTGCCCAAACTCTTCTGACCTGAAAAAAAAGTATTTCAACTAAATGTAGATTTAAATTAATATTTTTATTAGGAATACTTTTAATAGTTGTTTCGTTGTTAAGCGCAAAGCTACACAAAAACTATCTATGCTCTGCCCACCACGACACACGGTTACTAGCATTGTAAGTCCGCAGACATACCGCTGTGCTACTTGTAGGCACTTTTAATAGTTGTTTATCGGTTAAGGTATTTACAACTGTCAGAAGAGGAAAGCATTCATGCGAGAGAAAAAAAGTGACATGAAAGTTATGAGGTTCCACTCATCACCTCAGAAAAAAGGCTTGCTAAGAATTTTAATCTTCACTAAATTTTGTTTCGTCTGTCTGTCTAACTACACAGAAAAATATGTGTGTTTGTGTTATAGTTATACATTAACTGAACACGGAATGTTTCTAACTTAATTGTTTGAATCTCCATAATGAGATCGCAGTATGAAAAAACACGAATGAAATGTATTTTGTCGTAAGGTATAAAAACAAAGACAAAGGATTACTAATAATGGTTGGAGACGGCTTGAATGGGTAATGAAGAAAAACTTTAATATAAGTTTAACATAACAGCAAATGTACAACGTTTCGACAAGGTTTTGTCATCATCAGGTCTCATCATTTTGTCATCATTCAAGCCGTCTCCAGCCATTATTAGTCTCAAAGTGGGTTCCTCGTCATCGAATTTGAAAGGATTACTAATGCTTTTTTTTCTGTGGCCTGAGAATGAATGCTTAAAATATCATTATGTTTTTGTTTGTTTTTTAAATTTGTTATAAATTATAATATAAACATATACATTCTTAACTATCACAGTGGTTTTAATATATCCAACAAAATAATAAAAAGTATACTGCAAGTTGAAACATATTAAAATAATAATATTAGCTCATTTTAGATAATAAAAGATTAAAAACCATTGTACCTTGGTAATAATTTATTTCGATGTTTCGAAAGGTTATTACACAATGACTTCGTAATTATCTGATAGTATTTTCCATTAAATTTTCCTTCCAGTAGCAATACGAGTAACGACAGAAATTTTCAATCTGAGTAACACCAAATGCGCACATGAGCTAAACGACCAGGTCAGAGGTCCATAGGGTGCAAGTATAGCTAGTCTTAATTTCGAATTCCTGAGTAAAAGGAAGGTAGTAGATAAATAATCAACCGCCGCCACACGGGCTTTGTCCAGATTAACAGAATTAACTATTACTTTTATACCTCACCTACAACGGAAATGTAGAGCGTGGTAAGGGTTGTCACGTCTCGAATCTTGGATCGTTCGATCATCAACCCGACACAATAATTACAAATAATAAAGGAATCCTTAAATAGCTAAACTGTTATTGTGGCTTGCATGTAGATACAAGGCATGAAGTCAAAAAAAGATAATATTATTCTAGTTCGAAAAATGTTACTATATGACAAAGCTTAAAAAGAAGATTACATAGTCAAAACAGCGTGTGTTGTTAGTGGTCAGTAACACTAAATTATCTATATTTGTGTTAAATATAACGAGTGTTTATTTACTCATTGGTATTTACAAGCAGTTAATAAGTCATGAATGTATATTTTCAGCTATAAACCTCTGTACACAATAATGAGGACACCTTTTATAGATATAACTTTTTAGAAACAGAGTAATATAAGATGCTCTTTCAAATGGGACAAGTTTAACTCATATATAAGTAGGGTCATTAGTGTGTCTAAAAAAAACCCTAGATAATGTTTGTAGAAAATTTAATCGCTTAAGTTCAATTTACAAAAACTTATTCTTTAAATGCAACTAGGATCGAATTTTGCCCAAAATATTAACACTTTTTTTAGACGGTCTGTTATGTATTTCTACAACGATCAGCTGAATATCAAGTATTTACCAAGTAAATAAATGACGCTTAATATAAGTAAGATTAGTCGGTATCAAACTCCTTTAACTATCGTTTCAGTGATCGTTGTTTTGTCAAGTGACCTCGGAGATAGGGCACACCCTGGGCCTCTACCTCCCTCCTTTGCCTCCTTTAACTCTCTTTCTCTCTCTCTCTGGATCGGGATTTAGGTCTTTTGTAACCTGGGGTCAGGTTCGTGGGGATTTCTTCCTCGTTTCCGGACTGTGCTTTATCGTCTGTGAATGTTGGTGTTGATACTACATGAGGGTCGGAGTAAACCGCACTTGCTCCGACCTCTTTCAGTTACTATTTGTTTCCAAAACTAATTTTGAACTATTGAGCAGAGAAGATTTGTTTTTGTTTGTTTTTTGTAATTAAGAACAAAGGTACACAATGGGCTATTTGTGCTCTGCCCACCACGGGTATCGAAACTCGGATTCTAGCGTTATAAGTCCTCAGACATACCGCTGTGCCACTGGGGGCAAGCAGAGAAGAAGTAGCCAATCGAAGAGCTTCTGCGTCTTTGACCCGAATAACACTGATAACGCCCCTACAAATGAAAGGGCAAAACATGTTAAGCAGAATCGCGGCAGAAATTAAGCCACATTTACCCGACCCTAGATTTGAATCACTTCAAAACTGAAATACATACGATAGTAATAAAGCAATAATATTCAGAAGTCGATATATACACGGCGTAACGTTTTATTTGAATATACAGTAGTACATAAACTTAAGTTATGATGAATAAATAAAATGATTTGTTATTTTACGAATACCTTGGCCATTCTATTCTATCAAGTGTACAAAAAAAATCCTAAAACTATGATAATAGTTCCAGTATTGTCGATTTGTTTTTGAAATGCGTAACAGTCTGGGTGATCGTTTATAATTTTGTCTAAAAAGCTAAAACCTAAGAAACAACTGGAAGCTTTTTAGGTGAAAATCTCGTGACATCACTAGCTTATCATGATAAACACAAATGAAATATGGCTATTACATTTTTAAGAAAGTTTTTTGTGTTTCCTTCAAGTGTTAAATTACAAACCTTTTAACACAAAATGTTTCTACAATTTTATTCATATAAGAATTAAAAATTAATGACGAATTTAACTGGCTTCAAACTGATAAGCTACATCCAAAATTTATTAACTGCTTGGGTTTTTTTTATTTTTGTTGCATCAGCAATATATATATATATATATATATATAAGTGCTAAAAGTAACGCTTCTTTTAAACACTATCCTTAACACTTTACCTATTTGAAGTGTACGAGAAGTTTATACTTTCAGTCTTTAAAAATAGGAAATAAAGAAAAGGTAAACAAAAATTCGTAAACGCCAATGTCTATTTTCAATATGTTTTATATATATCTGACCAAAAAAGAATAAATAATTTTATGAAACTCAAGAACGCAGAGTATGCAGTTGGTGGAGTGCAAAATCGCTGTCCTTGGGAAAATTTGCTATATTATATGTGGTACTGAGATGATTGTTTCAGTATCAAAGTAATTTCTTAAGATTTTGACAAGGATAAAATGCTCCACAGTCTGTTGTGTCCAAACCGGTTCTTGCTGCATTGTAATAGATGTCGAAATCTGGAAGATCTTGAGCGCTGCGTTTAAGTTTCCCGTTAGACCTATGTGGAATACGAAAGAAGACGGAGCCAATTAAAACAAGTGACAACATAGACACAAGAAGTTAGCTGAAAATAAAGCAATTTCAGTTGAGTTAATAAATAAAATTTCACCGACATATTTTAAAAACAAAACAAAAAAAAAACACGTGAAATAAAAACTTAATAGCTTTATTTATTTATGTTATCCACAAGTGTTAGGTTTGTTTCATTATGCACATCATTCAACTTTCTCTTTGTTTTGTAATAAGTTAGAAATATTCAATTAATGGAAGAATATTTATTAGAATTTTTCAGAAGTATTGTTATCTTTGTATTCTTACACTTACACAGACCAGAAATGTATATTTTTATATTATAAAACGAGTCACGGTTTAATTGGGACATCAGTATTGCTTTCTAGAAAATCTTACTGATATTGTAATTTTTTTATTAATTCTTAGCTTCCTGGAGAACTACAATAAGTTTACCTGAACATAGAAGAAATGGTTTTAAGGAAGATATCTGTATCAGGACCCATTCCGCTGCTAGCAACTTCTTGATAGACCTCACAAACCAAGAATTTTCTGCATTCTTCATCTCTGATATTCCACATCTGGAAGGTGTTGTCAAGCTTTGTCATCAGTCTTTTAGTTCCTTGAGCGTCTAGAAGAGGAAGGCTCTCTTCTTGGTCTGTTAGTGACCTCTTACCGAGTCCACCCAAACTTGATAACACTCCCCCTAATTGACTACCAATATTTCCTCCTCCAAGAAGAACCATTACTGCAGGAACCAGGGTCATTCCATATAACACACTTCCCATCATCAGACCACCCAAACCCATAGGCAGGGTATTAGATGCTAACGTCTGACGGAGAGAGCTAGCCATCTCGATCAGCTTGTTGGCTGCCGGCAAGATTGAAACTTTTTTATCAGAAGTATCAGCGGCATCTTCTGTTGATTCTTTCTCTTCTTCAGATAAAACTGAAGGCGAAAACACCAAGAGAAATGATAGTATCAATGGACCTAGACTCGTGACTTTCATGGCTCGACTTCTTCACAGATGACACTAAAATTATCAAAATGAAACAAAATAATAAAGAACTTATAGAAAAGCATATCCGATGTTTTAAAATGCTAATGTTATGCGTTATTAAAATCGCTTTAATAATTTCAGTATCCTCTTTACCCAGGATGGCAGCTAGGGTAGGGCGATCGGGGCAGCTGCTCCGGGTGCAACCAGAAAGGGGTGCAAATCCCAAAAATTAGAAGATTATTTTCGTTTGGTCATATAAAGGGGGGGGGTGCAGTTCATGAAATTTGCCCGGGCGCAAAAATATCTAGCTACGGCCCTGCCTTTATCCTAAAATGTGATGATAATAATAATAATAATAATTACTAACCTAGTTTTCAAGGCAAGGAAACTATATGCATAATGTGTATAACTTGAGTTCACATTTTTGAAAGATGTTTTCGATATTTGGGAAAAGTAAGAAATGTTTCAATTAGATGTCAGTTTTTCGAGATCTTGAAGACCTTACCTTAAGCGTTAACAAATCGTTCAGGTCTCCAAAAACCACAAAGACCGTCTTCAGACATATAACCTGTCAGATGCTCGTACCACTAGTCGGTAAAAGCTTTATATATGATATCTTCATGCACCCATTGATCTATATTACCTGCAGACGTCTTTGATCAACAAATACCTTGTTATTCATCACTTGTGATGCACATCCAGAACAGCGCGAAGAAGGTCGAAATGAAGTACGGGGCAGTAATTAGACGCTTTTCGGGCTGTCTGTTACGTTTAACCCTTCTATCTGTTTGCCTGTTCGAATATCACATAATGACAAGTTCATCCGAGAAAATACTGGGTGTGTGCTGGTTTAGAGGTTCACCTCAGTCGTTTATTATGGCTTTCACCCTCTGGAATATGAACATTATTTGCTAACAAACATATACCAACTTTAGATAGTTTACTTCACCAGTCTATTCATTAGTTTTGTGTTTTGGGCGTTAGCGTATCCTTCCTTAGAAGCGAGACTGACTAAAATGTAATTATCAGGCTAAGAGATGTGGGATACATACACATGCCTCGGTTCAAAGGTTGAGCTACTTTGCTTTCGACCGTTACCTTAATATGTATCACGTGTTTTCGACAGGGAAAGAAAGGCCTTGACATTACGAACGTTAAATTTATTTGTTTATAATCTCAGCAAAGCTTCTTAAGCGCTACCTGTGCGTAGCTGTTCTTTAGTTTTTAACTGATAGACTAAAGAAAAGCAGCTAGCTATAAACAACACCCATCATTGGGTGTGATGTGATCGTCACTCCTATAGCATACCCATAGTACCAAAGTACGGAGCATATTTTTGCGAATTTGGTTTTAGTTAACGTGTTGCCCAGACTCAAACAACACTCAGACTGATAAATTAGCAGACTTCATAATTTGAAATTAATGTATCGCTAAGTCAATATTAACGGAGTGTTAGAGACCTGGTCATTGTTAGGAAAACAGAACTATACTTTTATCAGTACTTGTCATTATTAACAAAGGAAACCTCTAATTTTACTGTACATGAAATTCACAGACACGTTAGTGTGAAATTAACGATACTTTAATCTGATTTAACATGTCATTGATAATCAGATAATACTCTAGTTTTAATACGTACTCTACTACTGATAAAATGACACATTACTCTCGTAAAAACGTCATCGTTCAAATAAAATATCATGATTCTAAATATATATATAAACTGTGAATTAAAACACAATGAATTCAGTAAGTATTCACCTTTCAAAATAATAATGTGGTTTATTAGACATTATTACCGTTAATCGGATGATACTGTAGTTCCAGTACATATGTTATTGTTAATCAGGCGATGCAGTTATATCAGCGGATATTACATTGTTAAACAAACAGTACAGTGTATTTATTAAGTGTTTAATCATAAAGCAAATATATAATAGTGTAATGTTCGTTGAAAGTCACAGTGAAACAGATAATATTATAATTTCAATTACTTTTTACAATGAAATAAATAATACAGTAGATTTATTAAATACATCATTGTGAAATTTAAATAGAAAAATTACTTTATACAATTAACGTAGTTTAATAGATTGTCACTGAACTAAAACGTTGCTGTAATAGCAACTGACTTAATCACCTACAACGTTAGTTTGAATGGATATGTTACTACATCAAATAATATAAGGGTCGTGTTTCAGTTGACTTCGTTGCAATCAACTGACAATGCTTTGATATATTAGTCCTCGAATAAAATGGTACTTTGGAACAACATGAGTTAAGTGTGAGAAACTTTTTTGTTTTGCAAGAACGTTTTTTTTTCTGTCAGTTATTTATTAAATAGTCATTAAATATTCCTATTAGTTATTTCAAGAAACCAAGAATTTGGAAACAACCAACAAGCATTTCACTTAGAAATTGTAGAAATACTTTAAAATAGTAGTCAAATTTTTAAAGATTAAATATATATATCGGGTGTGGCAAAGTGGTTAGCGTGACAAGCTGTGGAGCCAAGATCCTATATTAGCATGGTTTGCGTTTCGTTACCACAGAAAAAATATTAATAAATCATCACACATAAGAGTTGTTGTTAAATCACGCTGTTCGGTAAGATTAGCTCAAGAGATGGCAGTGAGTGCTGGTGATTAGCTGTCTTCACTCTAGTCTATCAGTTCAAAACTGTGGACGGCTAGCGCAGATTGTTTCTGTATAAATTTGCTCGAAAATGTGAAATAAACAAACAAAAAGAATGGATACAATACAGGTCAATCTTGAGACCTTAAACAAATATAGCATCAACGAGAACATTGTTTGAAATTCAAGTTCGAATAAATTAATGAAATAATAAACTATAAAAGAGAGAACAAATATTCTCTACATAAAACTCAGTCACTTTTCCTCATAAATATATGTTTGTTTTAAAATGCAAAGAGTCGATCCAATGACTTTCCTATGTATATGTTCATACACTAAGGTACACCATTGTACGTTTGTGTGCATGTTCATACACTAATATATAACATTGTATGTTTGTGTGCTTGTTCATGCACTAATATGTACCATTGTAAGTTTGTGTGCACGTTCATACACCAATATATTTAATGCATGAACAAGCACTCAAACACAATGTTATATATTGGTGTATGAACGTGCACACAAACTTACAATGGTATATATTAGTGCATGAACGAGCACACAAACACACAATGTTATATATTAGTGTATGAACGTGCACACAAACACAATGCTTATGTACCATTGCATGTTCATACACTAGTAGCTACCACTGTAAGTTTCTGAGATGAAAATGTTATCAGAGTCTAAAAAAACAAATGATCAAAGGTCATATGATATTAATGGTTGATGAAAACTGTATTGTTAGTTTGTTTTTTCTGAAGTGGTAAAGGTTGGAAATTTTTAAGGAGAGCAATCTATATAAGATTATTTTGCACTAAACAAATGAACGTTTGAAAACAAAAGTATCACGTGATATTATCATTAATCTGTTGGTTTTAATTCAGTGAGTATAATTTCTAACAAGTTAAAACACGAACTTGCTTGTGTTTTTTTAAATTTCAAAACACCTTAGATGGATGACGTAATAATTTTAAACTGCATATAAATATTAGGGTAGAACTTATGAAATAAAAAAATTAAATTCAAGCTATTATCTCAGCGAAAATGTAATTCAAAAGTTTCTACTTCCTTTCTGAGTGTGTTTTAAAGACAAGTTCACGTGAAACACGCAAATGTTTTTCAGCTGCTCACTGCAGAATTTTGTTCAAAGCGGAAATTGAAATTCAAATCATTGCTCACAATGTCAGGCTTTGTGGGTGATTATCATACCATGACTCATGTTTTATATGGTATAAGTCGCTAGTTATTGTAGTGGAGCCGAGCGATGCAGTAAGTTTAGAAGGTAACTTTGTCAGTAATGTTAGTTCATTTAAATATATAACTTCCTATAAAAATGGCTTCAAGATTATTCATCTTTTGACATATTATTATCGTTGCTATTTTCTTCTACAGAGAAACGGCTCATAATGGAAAAGGTATTGAACTGTTAAGTCATCTTAATGTCGCACTCGGTTATAGAACAGAAATTATATAGGTGACGCTATAGACCAGTTGCGTAACTCAAAAATACCAAGGAACATAGGAATTATAATAAACAGCAGGAATGCTTGTCGTTAAATGAAAAAAATATATATATAAAGATAGCTTTTAACAAAAAATCAAACATTCTGGAATCAGCAGACTATACTAATAACTACCAAATAAAATTTCTGCAATATTTAACCAGAATAGTTTATAGAAATTAAGTAAAATTCCTCACGTTATTGACCCGAAAAAAAAACAAAAAAAAACGAAGCGCAGACGATGTTTGGCCTGAAGTTCGTTCAACACAGAGTGCAGAAAGCATAAACGTTAATTCTAGCAAGTTTTCTTCAGCCATATCTATTCACAGAAACATTTCTTCGTTTTAGCAGCACCTTCGTTACTTCCACTGTTCATATAACTTTATTGTTTTCTCTTCTCAAGCATAGTGGTGTAAAAGTTATTTTTATCACAATAAATTAAGAACCATGTACAGATAAAGGTCCCCCGCTGGGACAGCAGTAAGGCTACGGATTTACAACGTTACAGTCAGGGGTTCGATTCCCCTCGATGCACACAGCAGATGGTTCGATGTGGCCTTGGTTTGAAAAACATAGATAAAGTATAGTAAATTTGTTTTTAACCAGGTGGCAGTAAACCTGTGAAATCAAAATAGTCTCAAACAAAGCAAGTAAGAATCACTCTACCTCCAGATAAGTAATACATTGTATCTCAAAGAAGTAATAAAATACAAAATAGAATTTAGACAACATCAATTATTACTTCAGTTTGAGATTACTTGGTAAGACTTTTTGCCCTTATATTCTTAAAAGCATGTGATCGGAGAACATGAATTCAACATTTAATAGCATTATAAGTTTACAACTTATTCTTGCGTGACTATACTGTAT